CCGCCCGCCCTGTCTCTCTTCCCCCACACGCAAGCCCGGTAGGTCGCAGAGCGTCTCCTGCACACGCGCAGGAGACGCTCTTGCACTTTCGGGGGGATTTAAACTTCCCCCATAAATTTTTTTCAACTTTTTTTATTTTTGTGCACATGTGGGGACTGGCCCACGTGTGCACAAACCTCCCCCGCCCCCCCAGCTGCCCCCGGGCGCTAATTTAGCGATCCGCACTCCGGGGGCAAGTTGGGAATTAGATATATAGATGTTTATATAATTTTTAGTGTACCTTTAAAACAACAACACAAATGTTATGTCATTTGTTAGCATTCAGAGTTTACTTGAATTGAAATTTGTATCTTGGTGTAATTTTTGGTGCAATTGCAAAACAGATGTTGCTGCAGTTAATGTTGAAAGAAGCTGATATTAAATCTCTTCGACAAATATTTTTGTAGTTGAGACTTGTGTAGTTGTAGAGTGGAACCTTATCTTGCATTAATGCAATACGAGTCATTTTTTAACTTGTGGTTATATTTGAATGGTGGTCAGGGAAATTGACAAATGTTGGTCAGGGAAAGTCAGGGGAATGAAAAATAAAATTTTAGTGAAGTTTATACTATAAATGCATGCGTCTTCTAATTCTAACTGAGCAGAAGTATAAACGGCCATGTCCTTTCAGACATAGAAAAGAGTAAGAGTCCAGGAGCACCTTCAAGACTAACAACATGTGTGGTAGGGGAGGAGCTTTTGTGAGTCACAGTTCACTTCTTCAGATATCTGAAGTCCTTGAAGAAGTGAACAGTGACTCATGAAAAGCTCCTGCCCTGCCACAAGTTCCGTTAGTCCTTAAGGTGCTCCTGGACTCTCAGTCTGTCTATAGCACGGCTACCCGTCTTGATCGTTCAGACATTGGGTGAAACAAAATGTTGATTAATGGAGTCACGTCCTCTCCTGGTGCTGAAGTCTATCCATTATCTTCCAGGAACTTCTCTGCCTCAAAATGAAAGGGGGTTGCAAGGGAGCAGATTCCTCGTCCTTTCAGAGGGGCTGTGCAGGAGAAGTTGGGTGGATCAAGGGGATCCTTGGGATGAAGGGGAGGTGCTGACATATAAAAACCAACAGCAAAGATTTATATAATGAGGACTTCTGCTGAAGAAGGAGAAATGCCAACTCTTTTATTGCAGGTGGTGTGCAGATGCAATGCAAAGCTCAAACACATTTCGCCTTACATACAGTAACCCACGACAATCTCCCAGGCCTGCATGCTTTCCTGCCCCTGTACCAACTGATTTTGTTTTGCCACACTGAAATTACAATGGCAGCGCGGGACCTATTCTTGTTCCCTGTGGGGGGTTGAAGGAAGTACATCTTACAGAAGAGTGGCGCTAGCAGAGCAGTGTGTGACTAGTTGCTCTTTGTTAGGTTGCTGTGGGTAACTGCTTGTTACCAGGGTTGAAACAGCCAAATGTATTCTCTGCTGGAAGAATCTATGCACTTCTGAAAGGAGGGGGAAGGCTTCTCATCCACCTCCCCTCTTGCTGCCTGCATGCTGCAAAATACACTTGAACAGCGTTTGGATGAAGCTAGTCTTTCGATTTTTGATTAAGGGGTGGCGCTGGAGGAACTGAACTGGGTCCGTCCCCTTAAGTTCTCCAGTGGTGAAAAAAGTCATCAAGCATTGCAATAACCTGCTTGTAAAGGCAAGCATGGCAAAATATGTACGTGAAGTATATCATCTGATATAAGCTTCTAGTAACATCATAAAACGGATCCGGTGTTTTTAATAAACCTAATAATAAGAGGAGCACAACTTGGCTCTGTGTTGGCATCTGAATACTGTTTAATGATTATCCATCACTATCAGCAGATAGATACTTTGTACCACTAAAATGATTGGGAAAGTTGTCCACTGCAAAAATCCTCTTCAGTGTCACTTGCTGTTGCCAAACTGTGAAATGCGCGAGGGGTATCTGGCTCCTGGGATGAAACTGCTCCAAAGAACAGAGAATGAAACTAGGAAAAGCAATAAAGAAAGTTAACCACCACAGAGCAGCACTTTGTCAAAACCTTGCGATGCTGCCTATTAGGACCAAGTCTGAGACAGAGGCAGACCCACGGAAGTCAATCGCGTGTCATTTCTGTAAAGCCAGGAGAGGGGGGTTGAAAATGGAGTAGGGGCGGGTGGGAAGAAAGCTGAATGCTCATGTGCCCATGTCTCTCTCCCTTCCGGTATGAGCTGGCCCTGTGGGGAGCCCTGCAGAAAAGGGGAAACTACACACCCTGCTGTGTGAGAGTTCAGCACCATCATGTTTAGCTTAGCTTATATATGCACATTTTGGCCAAGATCTAAATAACATTACGTGTACTCAAGGATCCTTGGAAGTAAAACTCATGCGATACTACCTTGCTTTTGAAAGGGAGGTGGGTTAGTTTGGAGGAGAGGAGGAGGCCGTTGAAAGATAATGCTATCCTGGATTTGTAGAAAAGAGCAAGAGTCCAGTAGCACCTTTAGGGGTGCGTTCAGATGTGCCGTTTTATCTGGTGTCATGACGGTTAAGCAACGGATTTTATCTGCACAATCACACAGTCAACATCTGCCTCCCGTCCCCAGCCGTTGGTTTCTGGCTCGAAACCGCTTTAACCCGGAGTATTTTGTTACCAGGTCCCAAAGTGGTGTTTTCTCAGCTCTCCCGTTTAAAGCTGCATTTTCCCCGTGTGATCGCTCCTCCGGTGTCAAATCACTTCCGGTTTAAACCCCCTCCCCGCTCAAAACCTGTCCGAGGCTTCCGCTTTTCACCCGCCATTTTTAATGCGTTGGCGGTGTGCCCGTAGGTGGAGCTCCGCCACATTTAGAAAACCGACATTCAAACGGTCACTTGTTTTAGTGTTTAGATGCGTTCGGGATCTCACGGAGGCCATTTTCGGGTCAAATGTTTAAAGGGAAATCTTTTGTTGGAGGGGTTGGATTGATTCGCCCTGGTGGTTCTGCACATGCACCATGATAGTTTCCCATTCTACGGATGAGCACCTATTAGCATGCGTAAACTGAGAAAAAAATGTTAAAAACGCCGACGCTCCCACGCGTCAGTAGTGTAGACAGCGGGGAGCGCTGCAACTGCACGGTAAAGCGGGATAAGGGAGGTAAGTGTGATCGCGATTATCCAGATCAAATATAATCCGGTCAGAACCGGAGCAGTTTAACCCGCTCTCAGCACGCCGTCTGACTGCACCCCAAGACTAACAAAATTTGGGGCAGGGTAAGAGCTTTCATGAGTCACTGCTCACTTCAGTGACTCACAAAACTTAATACCCTGCCACACATTTTATTAGTTTTTAATTTGCTCCTGGACTCTTGCTCTTTTCTTCTGCTACTGACGGCTACCCATCTCGATCCATCTACTGGATATGTGCAAGCCCTTTCCTGTGGCTAGAAGTGGCTCTGGGTATTCTTACCCTTCTCTGTTACTGAAGTGGCTAAGGGTGGGAACGATCTGTTACATCTCAGCCAACCCTAAGCTGTCTGTCTCGTCAATGGGAACAACAATGTTGAATGAACAGAGGTTTCTGGAACAGAACATTTTCATTTCTAAATCAGTTGATCTTGGCAGAGAAGACCTAAAGGGTGTTTCAGAGCCTTCAAGCAGACTAGGGCCAGTGTTGCAACGGGTGTTGCTGAGCTCTGGAGTGGACGCCTTTAACGGCAGCCCTGACTGTCCTCATAATGCTCCCGACAACCCTGTAAGCTTGGTCAGTGAGGAGGAGGAGGAAATTGGATTTATTTCCCGCCTTTCACTACCCAAGGGAGTCTCAGAGCAGCTTACAAACTCCCTTCCCCTCCCCACAACAGACACCCTGTTGTCACAAAACACTGGATAGCTCCCAACCCCCTGCTGGCATTCTGGCTTCATAATTCTTTTAAAATAAGTAATTATAATCCCCCTTTTAAAACCCTTTGTATTTATGTGGTTTGTCGAAGTCAACTTACCTTACGGGGAAGACAAAGAGCCTGGGGCCTTGGCTTTCTGGCTCTTCTTGGGCTTCTTACAGCGCCCCTAGTCTAAGAGCCACAGGCAAAGAGCCCTTTAGCTCGCCCTTCGGCTCATGCCAGAGGCTCGAAGGTAGTCTCTCCTTCTTTGGTAGTTTTCAGACAGAGGCTAGATGGCTACCTGACAGCAATGCTGATTGTGTGAACTTGGGCAGATCATGAGAGGGAGGGCAGGAAGGGTTGCCTCAGTGCTTAGTTCTCGTGGCCCTTTCTTACACGCCCAAGGAAATGCTGATCGCCACTTTGGGGTCAGGAAGCCATTTTTCTTCAGGCCAGTTTGGCTGGAGATCCTGGAGGGTTTTGCCATCTTCTGGGCATGGGGCAGGGATCACTGGGTGTGTGTATTGGGGAAATATTTAGGAATTTCCTGCATTGTACAGGGGGTTGAACTAGATGACCCTGGAGGTCCCTTCCAACTCTATGATTCTGTGGCTAGGCTGGCATTTTTTTATCTGTACCAGGTTAGTCTACTGGCTCCCTTCCCATCCCGACATAGCACAGTAATCCATGCAACTGTCACCTCCAGATTAGACTACTGTAACTCACTCTGTGCAGGGCTACCCAGAAACGTCAACTGGTCCAGAATGTGGTGGCATGTGTTCTCACAGGAACCTCATTTACAGCCCATATCCAACTGGTGCTCCGCAACTGCACTGGCTCCAGGTCAAATACCAGATCAGGTTCAGGGTTTTGGTACTAACCTTTAAGGCCCTAAACAGTCTGGGACCAATGTATCTGTGGGATCGCTTCTCCTGGTAGGTCCCCCAAAGAGCATTATGCTCAATGAATGGCAACCTACTAGTGATCCCCTGACTGAAAAGTATCTGGTTGTCCTCAACTAGAATCTGGGCCCCGCAAGACCTGACGCAATTCCACAGGGCCTGTAAGACTGAGATGTACCACCAGGCTTACAGGTAAGGGACAATGATGGTTTCCATTGAGACTGGCCTCCCTTCACTTCCCCCTCCCACTCCTCCTTCCCTTATCCATTGTTCCTTATGTATTTAATTTGCAGGATATTACTCCCCTCTGGATACGGGACACTCTGCTGTCCTTCCTTTATGATTGTTAGTAGTATTGTTAAGAGTTGTTTTAAGTCTAAATTATTATGTTGTTTTCATTGTTTGTTACCATGTTACTATTGTTGTTATCTACCCTGAGCCCTGTTATATAGGGTACTGCAAGTTATAAACTGAATGAATGAATGAAATAAATGACGGCCTCGGGGGGGGGGGCAGTGCAACCAATATATCAACAACAATTTAACAGCAAAAAAAAAAAGAGGTTTTGTTTCTAACTTGGGGGGTGAAAGAATTCTCTTCTGGTTTCTGACGCAGTCCATTATCTTTAGCCTTTTTCCTTACCTCACTGTAATCCGGGCGAGTGGGCACAGCTTCCCCCACCGCTGTAGCGTCCTCTGCGGTCGTTCTGGCAGGCGTTGGGCCTGGAACACCTGTGCTGGGAATCAGGGTGCCCCCCTTGCTTCTCCGTAATGCAGGACTCCTAAAGGCCAGAGGACTGGAAATGTTGCAAGCGGCTCCTTTCCAGCAAGATCTTTATCAAGCTGTGGCCTGCCGCTCTAGGGGCAGAGTGCCTGCTGTTTTGGCCTGGCCGTTCATTAGAGGAAACCTGAGTGTCCAGACCTCTTCCAGCGTTGTTCTCTTCCCTGCTGCAGTGAACATGGGTGATAACTGGATTACATACACCCTTAGGGCAAGAGATGGATGTGATGACAGTTTCAGAGAGGAGACGAGGCTGCTCCCAATTCCAGGTTTATCCGGCCTGTGGCTAGGAAGCAGGTGCCTGCCAACGGATGTATACAAGCAAGCAGCCAGAAGACAGACATGGATCTTTAGGGGGGGCCGTGGTCACAAAGGAGTCTGAGATTCACAGAGGTCTGGACCAGTGTTCCCTCTGAGCTGAGTCAGTGTGAGCTAGCTCACAGTTCTTTAGCCTCCGGCTTACACATTTTTGTCTCGGCTCAGGAAGGATGGCTCCAGAGCAGACTAATTTATGCAGCAGCCAAATCGCTCGCTCACAACTTTCATGCCAGTAGCTCACAAAGAAGAAGTTTTGCCCAAAGACTCCACAGCTTAGAGGGAGCATTGGTCTGGAGCTGTGCCAGAATCCTGTCTCTGTCAGAGGTTAGTCTTTTAAGTTGCTTGATTTCCTTTACGCGTATTCAGACTTCAAGACAGCATAAACTATGGGAAAAGTGGGGTTTTAGAGAGGTTTATCAACCACAAACCAACAACCAGCCCTAACCGGTGTGGTGTGGTCGTTAAAGAGGTGGACTAGGATCAGGGAGCCCCGGGTTCGAATTTCCACTCTGCCATGAAAGCCTGCTGGGTGACCTTGGGCCAGTCACGCACTTTCGGGCAGCCTAACCTACCTCACAGTGTTCTTGTGAGGATAAAACAGAGAACAGGAGAACAATGGAAGCCACTTTGGGTCCCCATGGAGAAGAAAGGTGGGATATAAATAAAGTATGGAAATAAAATAAGTAACAGAACTGAAAGAGGAAACAAAACAGCTTCAGAATTTTGCTAGCAGCTTCCTTTCCAGACTTCCATGAAGTGTATTCAAAACAGTAAGACACAGGGAGAGGAAAACAAACCTGACCCAAAAGCTGGAATCAAGAACCAAAACGGTGAGAAGAAAGTCAAATGAAGGGCCATTATTAAAAGCCTAGTTAAAACTTATAATATATAAAAATACAAGTATTTATTAGAAAGACAGTTAAAAACATACATAAGGGCCCAATGAAATCCTCGTAAAACTATAGCCTAAACCCAAGGGCCAAGACACATGACCTGACGCGTCTCTGCCCGATTGGGGCCTTCTTCAGAGGTCAAACAATATTGAGGTACACATAACTTAAATACATATTGCAATAAGGTAACCAATAAGTGAATAATGGACCAGGAAGAGGAAGGTTAAGCAGCAAAATCTAAAGACACATGACAAAGATGTTTGTGAGGCCTCAAAAGGTGAAAGTCATGTGTCTGGAGCCAAATGCACAGTTGCTGAATTAGAACATCTTCCAGTTAAGGTCCAAAAAACACCTGTGCTTGAGGACACTCTAGCTCTGACTTTGATAGCCACACAGGTCTTATCTTATTGGTTACCTTATTGCAATTCCAGGGACCTGTGTTCCCTCTAAGCTGAGTTAGTGTGAGCTAGCTCACAGTTTTTTAGCCTCCGGCTCTCACATTTTTTGTTTTAGCTCAGGAAGGATGGCTCCAGAGCAACCTAATCTTATGTAGTAGCCAAATCGCTCACTCACGACTTCAATGCCAGTAGCACAGAAAGTAGAATTTTTGCTCACAGGACTCCACAGCTTAGAGGGAGCATTGCCAGGGACTCCCCATGGTGGCCGGGGGGTGGGGGGGACACACACACCTGGCAACCCTAGTTTGACTCCAGCACCTGGGATTCTGTTCAGCACGGGAACAAAGCCTGGGAACATATGAGTCACCCACCTGCACAATACTGAATCAACACTGCTGTTCTGCGCCTTATATTGATGGTGGCGATTAGTTCCTAGCATGAAAAGTGCTTTTCTGTAATAGCAGCTAGCAGGTAACATTATTCCTGTTAATATAAGTCTGTACTTGGAGACCAAAAGAGGCCTTATAATTTTCCCGAACGGGTACCTTCTTCCAGTGATTCAGAAAATGTTTATTATGGGTTGATATCTATAATAGGCGCCAGGGTGAATCTTAGAGGTAGCACTGCAAAAGAAACAGCTGACTTCCGATCTGCCTTACCTTTTCTGGCCTTGCGAAAGACGTGGAGAATGAGGAGAGGGTTCCTTGTTTTCAGTATCTGCTAAGGTAGCTAAAACAAAACTGGCTTCGACCATCATGTCCTCAATGCTGAAAGCAACAGGCCTTTAAAGTAAAAGCACAGGTTGAGTATCTGCCTCATACTTCTGACTAGTAAGGATAATTTAAATAACCCTTTATGCAGAGGGGAAAATTAGATTCTCACTCTGCTCTCTACTGATGGGGGGGAAGCTACTAAAATATTACTTTCCTTACTATTATAGCATTACCTGATGCACTCAGACATATAACATTTCCAGAAATATTGAAGCCAGACAGGGGGGTGGTGTTTTTTATGGTGGGGAAAAATTAAAATATGGGGAAAATTGAAACATATGCAGTCTTTGCTATCAAGCCTAGACTTATTTTACTGATTTAATAACATAGAATGCATCATTTATAACTAAGCACAGAAAATTAGCACAGAAAATAAAAATGGAGAAGCTTTATACAGTCAGTAAAAACAAGACCTGGAGTTGACTGTGGCTCAGATCCTGAGCTACTCATTGCAAAGTTCAGGCTTAAACTGAAGAAAGTTGGGAAAACCACTAGGCCATTCAGGTATGACCTGGATCACATCCCTTATGAATGTAGAAGAAGAAGAGATTGGATTTACACCCCGCCCTTCACTCAGAGTCTCAGAGTGGCTGACAAACTCCTTTCCCTCCCCCTCCCCACAACAGACACCCTGTGAGGTAGGTGGGGCTGACAGAACTATGGCATGCCCAAGGTCATCCAGCAGGTGCAAGTGGAGGAGTGGGGAATCAAACTTGGTTGTCCCAGATGAGAGTCCGTGCACTTAACCACTACACCAAACTGGCTGGTTGGAACACTTTCCCTATGAAGAAAAGTTAAAGCGCTTGGGGCTCTTTAGCTTGGAGAAACAACAGTGAACTCTTTAATGTATCATCATTAAACAAATAAGAAAATAATTGTTACCAAAATGTACATTAAAAATTTTGAATATGTTATCTATGTCTACAGTATACACAGAAATTATCATTATGTAATGCTCTGGACTGTCTTAAATAAAAAATTCCACCGTACGACCAGGGATCATTTCCTGCAGGAGCGGAGCTCCGGCAGTAAAGAGTCCAGGGGGCGGACACATGCAACAAGCCCCACCCCCTGCTCCCAGCAGCCCTCAGCCACAGCAAGAAGCAGCCAGGTAAGTTGCAGAGCTCCCCCCAGCCCCCCGGTCCAAAACAGTCCAGTGGCACCTTTAAGACCAAGTTTTGTTCAGGTACAAGCTCTCCCTCCTCTGCAAGGACAGATCTGCACGTTCCCCCCCCCCCCCAATAGCTAGCAATCCAAAACAGTCCAGTGGAGCCTGAGCGGTGGGTGTTGCCTTCTGACACACTTCCGGTGATGTCAGAGGGTGTGGCATATGCAAGTTAGTTATGCTAATGCGCTCCTGCACTTCTTTTTCTATGACATGACCCCTGCGTACAACATATTTTGAGTAAGACCTTGTCTTTCTTTTTACTCATCCCAAAAGGAAAAAAATTAAGAGTTTTTTTCAGTGCTCCACAACATTTCCAAATTTTCCCATTGAAAAAATGAGAAAGTCCTCAGTCTTTTTCATGCTATACATTTGGAATGAGTGAAATGCTTGTCAAGACAAGACTTTTTTCTCACTCAAAAAGGAAAATATTTCATTGGAGAATTTTTCAGTGCTCCTCAAATTTTCTAAGTTTTTCTGTTGGAAATACTGGGGGGGGATTACTTGGAGAAACTCCCCCCCCTTTTTCCTGGACCTTCATATTTCTAGATGCAGTTCATAAAAGTACTACAAAATTAAACAATGGGCCTAAGCACCTTTACAAGTGTGTAGGACTGTGCACTGTGTATGATTAATTCACACATTATTATGTCTGCAAATGAAAACTGTATTTGTGCAGGAAATTGCTGTGTCGCAAAGCGGCACTTAGAAACACCGCTCTTTCCAGGAAGTGAGTCCACTGTTCGTTTAAGCTATCTCAATTAATAGTTTAGCCATTCAAACAAACAAAAACATCAACTCCTATAATCGACCTACTTTCCAGAAACATCAAGGTGTACAGTGACTGAAGCGCTGAGGATGTCTGCAAAAGCCAACAGTCCCTAAACACAAGTGAAAGATGTGAATTAACCTCAAGCATTGTACATTAATGAGCATTACAGACTGGATTTAAGACTTGCTGTTACTTTGTCAGGCAGGGAGGACAATGGCCTATTATTTATTACCCTGCTTGTTGGCTTCTGGGAGGTTTCGCCAGGGGCAGACTGGGTATTTCAGTTACAGAGAGTTCTTGGAGGGCCACGAGCAAGCAGAGCCAAGGCCTAGTAGCTCTGCCAGCACTGCTGGAGCCCCTCTACTCTGACCTGGGCAGTGAGTTGGCATCACTACAGGAAGAGGCAGCCAGAGAGCCAACAGACATTGCTGGCTCGGTCTGTGCGAGTGGCCCCTGGAACTCTGACAGCCTGGCTCATCCCTGGACTATTTTAACTCCCTGTCAGCCAACGAGTATCTGGTTGGTCCATAGATGGAACCAGAACGCTGGAGTTTGTTCCAGGAGGGCTTGTCATAGGTTCACCTTTCCCAGATGTCCATATTTTATAACATTTTCTTCCCCTGCCCCAATACCTTTCAAACAGTTTCAATGCTAAAGTCCTACTTCCTGAATAAGGTCTTAGCAGTTGATCATGGAAAAGCATAGTTATGCAGTCTTGAAGCATACTGAAGATTAAGCAAATACAATCAGTATTGTTACCTTTAGCTCTTTAAGGCAAAATGTGACCTCAGAGTCTACTCCAACTTGAAAATATTCAAATTCTTCTGGCTCAAGGTGTATCTCAGTACGCATTGCCTTTGTGAAATCTGTTCAGATTCAGGACAACATGAAATGAAAGCAATAAAAGTCCTGAACACTTTAGTGAGAATTGTTATAAATGCTTTCCAAATGGAATATTCATATGTAAAACAGGTGTGGTTTACATGTTAATTAAAAATAGAGCATGTATGGTAGGGTGTCAGCCTGCAACCACATGTACAGGAGTTACGTGTGAATTTGGACATACATCCAGTCTTGTCATATGATCTATTCCCACTATCCATCTGCCTAAAAAAATGGATGGAAGGATTCTGGGGATTCAGAACTGTGTGTGTGTTTGGGTATATAGTATATGCATAGGACATTCACACATTATAGCATCCCCATACTCAACAAACATGTGGATCATCCTCCATATATGTTCCATATATAACCCAGTTTGGTGTAGTGGCTAAGTGCGCAGACTCTAATCTGGGAGAACCGGGTCTGATTCCCCACTCCTCCACTTGCACCTGGCTGGATGACCTTGGGCAAGCCATAGTTCTGATAAGAGCTGTTCTTGAAGAAGAGCAGTTTCTGTCAGAGCTCTCTCAGCCCCACCCACCTCACAGTGTGGTGGGAAGGGGAAGGGAAAGGAGTTTGTAAGCCGCTCTGATACTCCTTCGGGTAGTGGGCGGGGTATAAATCCAATCTCCTCTTCTTCTTATATGGAATATGTTCCATATTTTGTGTGTGTGTGTATTACAGCTATCACTGGCTCTGGCACAAAATCAAATGTACAGAAATACAACATGGGATATTCACCATCAAGGCAAATGTTCTAACATAGATCCTTTCAACAATTAAGGTAAGTAACAGATTATCAGCACTATCAGAGAAGCGCTTCTTTAGTTCTTTCCAATAGTGACTCAAGTCAGGTTCCAACGTTATTCTCTCCAATTCCATTTTATCCTCGTAACAACAATCCTGGGAGGTAGGTTAGTGTTAGAGAGAGTGACTGACCCAAGGTCACTCAAAGAGCTTCAATGGCACATGGATTTTCCAAATCCTAGTCTGCTGTGCTAACCACTACACCACACTGGCTCACTTAACAAGTACTGGATTTTGAAAAGGTTCTCTCTTTCCCCATTGAATGCATTTTGTTACATCAAAACCTTTCTTGACTGAAACCAGTAGTAAACAATAGAACTCTAGTGTAATAATCTCGTGGTTATACTTTAAAAAATATATATCTAATTTCTCTGTGCCATGTATGTTTACTCCAGGAAAGGCAGAAGGGGGAAACAGTGGTGGAGAGCCCCGTTTCCCCAGCCTCCCTGGAGCCGTCTGGCTATTGTTTGCCCCTGAAATGACGGCTCACAGGCTCGCGCTGGGTAGCTGCCACCACCTGTCTCTTGAAAAGCTGAGGCAGAGCCTGACTGACCCACTTCTGCCTCTCTCTGTAACACACTCACACAAGCACACACCTCATCTAACCAAACACATAGCCTGGCTCACTTGAGAGCCGGCCTGCATCTAACCGAGTCCTTTTGCACCCAAGTTCTGGGGACAACACAGGCTCTTTTAAAACAAAAAGTTTTAACTTTATTTTGGAAAAGCAGAGTAAGAAGGGAACAGTGTGTGTAGTTTCTTGCACATAGAGAAAGATTTCAGACATACGGGAGCAGGCAAAAGAGAGCTAAAATCATACAGAAAGCTAACATAGCGTGACTAAACTGGTACCCGAACTGCTTGGCTTACAGTTCACAGATCCTGAGCCATGTCTACCTGTCATGGACTCTTCCTCCATTCTTGGCTCCGGGGGAAGGCAAGAAGAACTCCTCCTCCAGGCATTTATCGATGTTGCTATACTCACACCCTTGTGCAGGAGTAGGTGCTGTTCTCCTGCTCTGCCTGGTGCTAAGTCAGCCAGTTGTTTCTGTTTGGAAGAGAAACCCTGTCCCTCTCTGTGGGGCTTTGTGAATCACTGGCCTGTTCCTGTTCTTACCAGAGAGGCTGCCTGAAGGCATAGCTTAATTAGAGACAGGAAAATCATGCATGGGACGCCTGACACTCTTGTCATCTAACAGTTCTTGTCAAAAAATAGTACTCCAACGCAGACTCCAAAGCATTTCCTTGCCTGAAATATTCTTCTTACTCTCACTTGATGCCACCGCTAAAAAAATCTTTAAAACACACAACATGCAAGACCCTTTGATACAGCACGGTGTTCTCCTGAATACAGAATGCTCTTATGGATTACTTTTCTGAATTTGTCAGAGCGATAAAGAGTTAAATTCTTACCCATTTCATCCTCAACGTAAGTCTTGAAACAAGCTTTCAGTGGCGTTACAGATAAAGTTACTTCATCTTGATAAGTTGGGAAATGAATCAATATGTCAGACAACTGTCTGAGAAATTTGAGAGAATGACAGCATTTGAGACTATGAATTGCTCTCTATGGTTCATGTTTTATATGAATAACAAAAATTGGCAGGTATGTTCAATATAGCCCCCAAAGGAAAGATAACAGCCTGTGAATTACCTCCATCTAGCCTTATTATTTTCTACTGAATCTTTAATTATTCAGATTAGAGTATCACAGCAGTATCTGAGGTACAAAGGTTAGATGATGGTTCCCAATTCCCTGGCTGTTCGTCATATGCTCCCAGTCCTGCCCATAAAAGAGCAGGGCTTGAAGTGAATGAGGGGCAGCCAAATCATAAGATCCTGTTTTGAAGCATCCTGTTTCCCTTCTCTAGCCATTCTGTCTTCTCCACCAGGTAGAGGTGGGAGGGTAGAGCTGGTAAAATAGGTCTGTCCCCTCCAATTTCTGCCGGTAGAGACAGAAATGGAGGTCCTGAGTTACAGTCCTCCCACGTGGCTAACATGAAGGACCTTTTCTTTTCCAATTCCTGTCTTACTTTATAGAAGAACACTGGGGGATGAATTGAATTTTCATTTGCTGGAGACCCTGTGAGATGGGAATTTTCCACCTCCAGCTCTTATCTGCATTTGTCGGAACTAGTCGTTTGGAACGTGAATTAAGCAAGCCTTGATACACAACTGAAATTTATTTAGATGCATTTATTTAGAGGATTTATACCATCCATCTTCCAAATCTGCTTCAGGGGGATTGTTCAGAAATCTGATAATTTGTGAGCAAAAACTATGCGACTTGATAATATGATCTTCATTTTATTACCTTGAATGTACCTTCAGTACATTGGGGCACAGATGTTTGGCAAACACAGCCTGCAAAGGTTCGCATTCTTGAAAAGATAAGTTATGAGTTTTCACAATACCTGAAGAGAGAAGAGATTGACTGCGAATGGCATAGGTTTGCATGCAACACTGATCAAATATTAAGTAATCTCTTCATCCTATGACAGAAATATGAAACTGAGTATTTAGTTTTATGTTGTGTGTGTGCAGGTTAAAAACTGACTACCTGGCTGTGTTACAATCCACAGATGAGCTGTGGTGATAGCACTGTTTGCTAATTCAGCACACACACACACACACACCCCAGTGTGATTATGGAAGAAGCCATCCGAAAATGCTACTACCACAACTTGGATTCACAGTGCAACCCTCAAAAAGCAGGACCTGAGGACAATGCTTGTGGAAATGGCTTTCCATAATGGGTATCTCAGCATGGCAAGTTGTTCTTAAGCAGTGTCTTGCAATTTTTTAAAACTCCTATGCCTAGGCTATGACTGATCTCCCAAATTAAAAAGGGTAGCAAACACTCTGATTTGCAAGACAGACGCCCACATACCAGTGGCTTTCTACACAGAAGTTGCCACTGTGGGAAGCAACTTACATGGCCTTTATAAAGCAACCATTTCATATCCATTAGCCCTTAGTTACTGCTATGTCAAATACCTATTAAACCAGCTTTTTAAAATAAAGGTGGCCTCTAGTGCTCTCTGGTGGACACAAAGAGCTTGACAGCTTTTAAATAAAAGAGCTCAGCTCTTAAGTTCTTCTTGTTTCATTATATGTCGCAGGGCTCTTTTTGTAGAAAAAGCCCAGCAGGAACTCATTAGCATAATAGGCCACACCCAACAGCAGAAACTCATTAGCCTATTAGGGCACACCCCTGACAGCACAGCTCGTTAGCACATTAGGCGCACCCCCATGTTACCAGAAGTGTGGTCATCCAGCCACACCCACCTTTGCTTCTTATTGTTTACCTTGTTTGTTGTCCAAACCAGGGCTTTTTTTGTAGCAGGAACTCCTTTGCATGTTAGGCCACACACCCCTAATGTAGCCAATCCTAATGAGTTTCTGCTGTTGGGTGTGGCCTGTTATGCTAATAAGTTCCTGCTGGGCGTGGCCAACTCCGGAGCCAGCCAGAACTCTGTTCCTGTGCGTTCCTGCCCAAAAATAGCCCTGTGTGCATCACCATTTCACTAGACATTTCTTCTTTTCTTAATACAATGTGTAAAGGCATTAATTATATTAATGTTCTTTGTTTCAAGTGTAGATGTTTATTATACATTTAATATTACTGTCATCATCATCATCTATAGCCCACCTTGCTCACTGAGATTCAAGGCGGATTACAAAATACTAAAAGCAATTCAGCCAGAGAGCAAAGACCTCCCACAAACAATGTAGCAGGACTAGGACCACAAAGGCAACAAAACGTCAGAGATGTTGAAAGAACACTTTTTTTGCAGCTGCAGTAGCTTGCATCTCCAACAACAAAGTTGGGTCTGTTAACTGAGTCAGTGAGGGTCAGCTGGACCCCATCAGAACTTGGGGGAAGCCTCGTGTCCTTTGGGACTTCTGCCTTCCCAGCCTACACTGAGTCCCTCTTGCCAGGATTGCGTTTCAACTCGTTCACCCCCAGCCATTCACACACCACAGTCAGGCACTGGTTCAGAACCTCTACAGCATCACCAGGCAATCTGGATAAAGAAATACAGCACTGGGTGTCATCAGCATATTTAAAGTGCTAATGGACTCAAATTTTATTTTGTGGAATGTATCTAAAATAGCAAAATCGTAATTTCTTGTTTTAAAAAACTCAGCCATTTGGAAGTCTTTCTGAATAAGACACCGCCCTGTCCCCACACACGCACATCGTGTCAGAAGGTGCTTTGGAAAGTCCACTGAGTTTAAGAAACACGTCTAAACACATCAGGGGGAATATTGTGTGGTTCTTAGAGCCTAAAGTTTTACCTGTAACCCCTTAAGGCCATAAAAGCTTCACAAGATTGTTATTACTATTGACCTACCGTGTTTGCAGAAAAGTTGAAAAACAACATGGCAGTCTTTGAAGTTTGTGTAAATGTTGCATTTATCTACATTCTTTTCTAGACTATTTGAGTACCTAAATATAGGTAGGACTGCCTGAAAGAAAAAAATATTATTAATATTGAGAGATTTCCCTAAATGCAAAACCTAGTCCTCAAGAAGACAACATTAAAGATGATGACAAGCTTGGATACTAGAATCTGCAGAATAAACATTCAGTTCTTGCAAATAAAAAGCATATTATGAAACACATAGGATCTGTGTGTCCTATGAGTGTGGACTCTACTGTATATAGCTCACTGTTGCTTTCGATATTGTGTACTAGTATTGTTTGACAATGAAATATGTTTATCAAAAGAACTAGCAGCTACAGCAAAAACAAATTCTTAATTGTTTTGTGTGGTGCACAAAAAAACACTATCCATAGATCAAACACATAAGTATGGTTGATTGGTGCATTTTGTGTTAAATGTATCTGTCAAACAAATTTTAGACAGATACAGTATACAACTTAAACACCATAACTGGAACAGGGTTTTTATAATATAAAATTGTATACATCTACTAAGACATACCTTTATTGTTAATTTACACCTGAGTCGTATACTGTTTTCATTTAGACACTGTTCAGTTGAGTTTCTCCAGGAATAGTGTTGAAAGAACATAGATGAAAAGAAGACACAGGCATATGCTGATCGAGAAGAGTTTACTGACCTAAGAAATAGCTGTGAATAGAATTAAGTATTTTATCAGCTTGTAATCACAGGCAACCAACAAAGATAGCATGTTGTAATATCTGGAAATTCCCCTATTGCTTCATCATCCTTCCTATATAGGACACATTACATATGAAAGAGAGAAATGTAGTTTGTTTTTAGCTGTCCAGACATAAACAAATTATATATGTGTACGAGTATTAACTGATTTACAGTAGAATCCTATGCAGAGTGACCCCAGTTTAAGCCCATTGCAATCAATAGGTTTAGCCTGGAGTAACTCTGCACAGGACTGCATCGCTAATCCATTGGTAATGGATTAAAACTGGAATCCCAGATTAAAATTTGCCAGTTGCTTTGTGAAGCTGAAACTGAAGGCACAGTGCCGTACAGGATACAAGTTTGCACCAGTTCCCTTTTGCCTGTGCCGGATCTGATGAATCATGAATGTAAATCATTGCTTTCCTTTCCAGCTTGTATCTAAAGCAAACAAATATTTTGCATCTTTAAACCCTTCTAACTCTATCATCGTGGCTGAGGACAACGACGTGACTGGCACTAAAATCTGGCACTCCCCCCCCCCCCCACAGGCCGCCTGTGGAAATTAAAATCTCTCCTCCGCCAACTTGGGAAGTGTATTATTTGCTGATACCTTATAGGTATTTTAACATTGGTTTTAACCTGAATTATTTATTGTACTCCCTCTGTTGTAAACTGCCCTGAGCCCTGCTTGCAGGGAAGGGCAGCCTAATAAATATAATTTAATTAATTAATAAATAAAATATTCCAATATCCCAAAAGGCATCAAAAAGTAAGCATTAAAGATTTAGTTTTCTAATAAAAGGGTGGGGACTTTAATTTGTTTACAAAACAGAACCCAGAGATCTTTGGATCCAATATCCTGTGTTCTCACAAGCAATACTCCCTCTAAGCCGTGGAGTCTTGTGAGCAAAAATTGTACTTTGTGAGCTACTGGCATTAAAGTTGTGAGCAAGCAATTTGGCTACTGCATAAATTAGTTTGCTCTGGAGCCATCCTTCCTGAGTCAAAACAAAAATGTGAGCCGAAGGCTAAAAAACTGTGAGCTAGCTCACACTAACTCAGCTTAGAGGGAAGTATCCCCATTAGCACAATTCTGTTCAAAGCTGCAAAATTCTCCCCCCACCCAGGGGTCATTTCGTAGAAAAAGAGCTAGGGGAACTCATTAGCATAACTCATTAGCATATGCCACACCCCCTGATATCAGGGGCCGGCGGTGGACCTGCAAGGCCAGCGGGAGTGCGAGGAAGCCCCGCCCAGGCCCTCCCTGGCCCCAGGCAGGCAGGGGTGGGGAGAGGCTGGGAGGAAGCAACTTACCCTCCCTCTTCTCCTGCCTCCTCCTGGCTGAATGAGGGCTGGAAGCGGGGCGGCCGGAAGCAGGGGGCGGGGCTTCGCCATATGCCCCGCCCCCTGCACCTCACCCGGGGAACTGCGTTCCCCCGCGTTCCCCCCCGGAATGACCTCTGCCCCAACCAATTATTTGTATTCCTAACCTCAAAATCTACTTACTCCTTTTTCAATAGGATCAAACCAGAATTCATCACTGATTCGTGCTAAGGCATATATGGCCCTTCCAAATACTAGAGAAGAAAAACAGTATGGTAACAGTCCAGTTTGTTGTATAACAGACACTGTGTACTGTATTAATTAAAAGAGAAACTCCAGACTTTTCCAGCATTCAGAATTTTAAAAAGAAGTCAAGGCAAGGATTTGAATCTGACCTATACTGAACTCCAGGGTTAATGTGATATATTTATGTTTCACACATTTTGTTAACATACTATGTCGCCTTAAACTTTTATGTTATATAGCAGGGGTCCCCAAACTCTTTGAGCCTGAGGGCACATTTCGAATTTTGATGTGGCAGGGTGGGCCCAGCAACAAAATGTCTGCTGCAGTTTAACTTCAGTAACACAGTGCAGATCCTTGTTTGGTGTAGCCAGTTTGGAGTAGTGGTTAGGTGCGCGGACTCTAATCTGGGAGGAGCAGGTTTGATTCCCCACTCCTCCACTCGCACCTGCTGGATGACCTTGGACAAGCCATAATTCTGTCAGAGTTGTTCTCGAAAAAGAGCAGTTTCTGTCACAGCTCTCTCAGCCTCACCTACCTCACAGGCAATGTTCCCTCTAAGCGGTGGAGTCCTGTGAGCAAAAATTCTACTTGGTGAGCTACTGGCATTAAAGTTATGAGGGAGCGATTTGGCTGCTGCATAAATCAGTTTGCTCTGGAGCCCTCCTTCCTGAGCTGAGACAAAACTGTGTGAGCCGGAGGCTAAGAAACTGTGAGCTAGCTCACACTAACTCAGCTTAGAGGGAATACTGCTCACAGGGTGTCTGTTGTAGGGAGGGGAAGGGAAAGGCGTTTGTAAGCCACTCTGAGACTCCTTTGGGTAGTGAAGGGCGGGGTATAAATCCAATCTCTTCTTCTCTCTTGTGATGTGGCAGCAGCCGTTGCGAAAACATTTTTTAAAATCCGCACAACCAATCAAACCTTCAACAGTCAATCAGAAGCCTTGCTGGGCAAAAGCTCTACCTGACACTGGCTGTTTCCTAAAAGAACACTTGGGAGGCACCAGAAAAGGTGTCCGTGGGCACCACGTTGGGGACCCTTGGGTTATATAGGCAGACGGAGGCTAAATGAAGAACTCAGGGTCACCCAGTGAAATTGGCTGGCAGCAGATCCAGGGAAAAGGAAGCAGGTTTTCATGCAATCATCACCTTATGGGATCCATTGCCAGGAGACTAATTAACTTAAGGAATGGACTGCCTGAAGACGTGGCAACTAGCATTTCCCCCCACCACCAGTGCTGCATGCGAGCTGCGGTGACTCAAGGGGTTAAGACGCTGAACTACAGGCTGTGGAAGGCCGGTAGTCCAGCAGTTCGAGACCTGAGTGTGCCGCATGACGGAGTGAGCTCCCGTCTCTGGTCCCAGCTCCTGCCAACCTAGCAGTTCGAAAGCAAGAAATTGCAAGTAGATAAATAGGGACCGCTTCGGTGGGAAGGTCACAGCGTTCCGTGCGCCTTGGGTGTTTAGTCATGCCGGAAACGTCTTCGGACAGCGCTGGCTCTTCGGCTTGGAAACGGAGATGAGCACCGCAACCCTAGAGTCGGACTCGACTGGCTTTCGAGCGAGGGAGACCTTTACCATTTTATAATGTCGTATATTAACACAGTGCAGTCCTCGAATCGATACGCATTGTCGATTATGGACGGGGGGGGGCTCCCCCCGCTCGACGTCTTGCTTCTTCTTGAGCGGGGTCTGTGGGGGGGGGGGGTTAAATGGGGCCCCCATCCCGCGCTTGCGCGGCTTCCCGCCCGCCCTGGGCGCTACCTCGCACGAGAGGCCCCCCCATGCCACACTTCATGACGAGGCTAGCCGAGGGCGAGACGCCGCGTAAAGGAGCGGGCGGAAAGGCGCCTCCGCCCAGCAAAGTGCAAGACTGAGCCTGAGGGGAATTTGGCTGAGGAGAACAAGGGGCGGGGCGGACAGAGAGATCGGAAACCGCGCGCCGCATGCTACATTTCCGGCTTCCATGCGAGCTCCGCCTACTGCGGGGCTGGATCGTTCAGCTCTTTGCTACAGTTTGGGGGGGGGGGGGTTTGCCGTGTTGGTCTGAAGCAACAGAACCCAGTTGGAGTCCAGTGGGCACCAGTGTTCCCTCTAAGCCGAGTGAGTGAGCTGGCTCACAGTTCTTTTAGCCTCCGGCTCACACGTTTTTGACTTCGCTCAGGAAGGAGGGCTCCAGAGCAAACCTTATGTTATGCAGCAGCCAAATCGCTCGCTTAAGGCCAGTAGCTCACAAAGTAGGATTTTTGCTCACAAGACTCCACAGCTTAGAGGGAGCATTGCAGCCAGTGTTCCCTCTAAGCTGAGTGAGTGTGAGCTAGCTCACAGTTTTTTAGCCTCCAGCTCACACGTTTTTGTCCGCTCAGGAAGGAGGGCTCCAGAGCAAACTAATTTGTGCAGTGGCCAAATCGCTCGCTCGCAACTGTAATGCCAGACGCTCACAAAGTAGGATTTTTGCTCACAAGCTTAGAGGGAGTATTGGTGGGCACCTTTGAGACCAAAAAAGTTGAATTTTGGGCATAAACTTTCCTGTGCACGTACACTGCTTCAGATACAGTCTGTTTCAAGTACAAACGTTAAAAACAGTACGATAATTTAGCGACAAAAATAAAAGAACACTCTTTGCTTTCCGCGCGCGGTCGATTGGGAACCTGCAATGCGTAGCGGTCAGCACGCCATCTCTTGGCGCGCAAGCCCCTCAAAGTCCCCGGATGTCAGCCCCGTCGGCGTGCTTTGCTGGAAGGACAGAAAAGCTCTCGGAGTTCTAGCGGCCCGATTTTCCCGCCCTCCACGCTGATTGGGAGGAAATAACCCCGCCTCCTCGGGTCTGATTGACGCAAGCCTCCGCCTCCGCACCGCGCTCGGGATCATTTTTGACCCCTCTCCGGCTTTCGTAGGTCGCATTTCCGGAGTGTGGGTTCGGCAGTCCGGAAGTGGCTGAGAGAAGGAACTGAAGTGGAGGCACGGCAGGGAGGCCAAGATGGTGAGCGGGGGTGGGAGCGGGACGATGGAAGAAGATCCGATAGTCAGTGCGACGGGGCTTGACGTCTTACCCCCGAGGTTTTGCACGCCTTGAGTTCGAATCCTACCCTTCCCGAGCTTTGCTCTGCAGGGTGGTTGAATCGAGCTTGCAGAATTCCTGGGGATTTGGGAGCGGTGTCTGAGGAGGGAGCTCAGTGGAGTTGAGGCCATGCAGTTGACCCTCTCAGTCTAAACCTGCCGTCTTCTCCACGGATACTGATTTTTGTTGTCTTTAGTGCCCAGCGTGCTGTTGTAATTCCAGGAGAGCTCCAGGCTCCGCCATGGAGGTTGGCAACTGTAGGTGGTTCTGGAGGGGAGTCTGCTGTGTCCTAAGGCTCAATGCATTTATTTGATGTCTATGTATTTATTTACAACATTTATTTCTATCCTGTCAGAGCCACCGAGGTGGCTAAAAATGGGTAGCAGAACATTATAAAATGCATTGTGAAACCAAAAATAAAATACATGTACGAAAAACAGAGCTAGCAATTAAAATAAAGGGTGACAGCGACCCAGTTAGGTTGAGAGCAGTGCTCCCTCTAAGCTGTGGGGTCTTGTGAGCAAAAATTCTACTTTGTGAGCTGCTGACATTAAAGTTCTGAGCCAGCAATTTGGCTATTGCATAAATTAGTTCGCTCTGGAGCCATCTTTCCTGAGCTAAGGCAAAAATGTGCAAGCTGGAGGCTAAAAAACCTGAAGTAGCTTACACTAACTCAGCTTAGAAGCAACACTGGTTGAGAGAATGATTGGCCTAAGATCCGCTTCGTGGCTGAGAGGGGATTTGTCAGTTTAGGTTCACAGCAAATTCCTGAGTTTTTCCCGTATTTCCCTGACTTTATTCTTTTCATATTAACCACAGTTTTGACACCTTCCTGCAATTATGTAACATGCCTGTTTGTGGTATTTAACAACAGTAACTTCTGTCATGATTATGCTTGGCTAACCTCTTGGAGCGTTATAAATCCATGAAATGAGAAATCATGCACTGTGTGGGTAGCCTGTTTGCTGGTATAATATGAAACTGGTGGGTACAGGCAGGAGGGGAATGAGAGGCAGTGTTATTGTTTGCCAATGAAGGGGCTATAATCTTTGTCT